GGGGGGGGGAGTGACAGAGAGTGAATACACATACTATACAGAGATGCTGTATGAGAAACCAATGTGAGTTTGGAAAATTGCACAATATAAATATATTCTAGTAGACCTCAACAATGGAATTATGATCAGTAGAAATGGTCATGACATGGGACCTTTAAGATCATCAGACAGTGGGAGGAGATTTCCCCAAAATGATTATTGACACAATTAAATGGGAGTGGTAAATACTGTGTCTGTGTGTTGAAGAGATTGATGAATCCACCTCATTTCAACATCTGCCTTAAAATGAGTCTCAAACAGTCTGAATTCAGTCCGTCATGAATGCACCAAGGATTCATTTCCACTTTTTTAGAGATCAGAGAGCTTTATACAGGATACAGGTATGGAGGTCAAGCCAAACCTTAAGCCTCCACTGCACCTGCCTGCAGTTTCCCTCACCTGGTACGCCGCTCAGAAACCCGACTGCAGGTGTGCTGAGGAGGAACAGTCCTCCACTTGGAGGCCTCCACTACCATGGCCTCTGCATCCACCAGGCCAAAACCATAGAGGTGGCTCACTGTGAGAAAAGACAAACACAGCATAAAGAGAGTTAAACCTTCTAGAATTATCTAAAGCTTTACTGTTGTATTAATTAAGCTTACCTTTGAGTCCTGCAGCGTTGGTCTTCCAGTCATCAGCTTTCAGGTGGACTGGTCTGGACGTCTTCACCAGAAGATGTTGCACATCTCTCCATGTCAACAAAAGGCTGCAGAAACCAAACACACAGTTCACCTCAGGACAATTCAATGTCTGTAGTTCAACCAGGTTTTCGAAGGAATGTGCCATGTTTTGAGCAGATTGTTCCTCTGGTTATCCTAAGCCTTTAGGCTCTAGTACATTCACACATGTAGAAAGAAAAGATACGGGAAGAGGCAAGACACCATTTATCGTTAACTAGACTAAAAGGATTAGAGTGGGGGATTCTACGTTTTTCTTATTGTTAGCATATCCCATGAAAAGGCCAGAACCAACAATGAATGTATCCTACCAACATGTGTTGTGCGTGTATCCAGAGCCTGATATATCTGTGCCACAGTTAATTCCAGCTGTTTTAAGAACCCCTGACATTTCATCAAGAAATTATGGTAACATCGTGCCAACAAAAAAAAAACCTCATTTAT